ATAATAATAATAATAAAGTATCCGTTTAAACCCCCATCTCACAATTTATAGTGCGGTCAAAAACTCGTGGCGCAACTTACTGTCTAAAATTTCCAAAATTATAGAACATAGACTCTTCAGCTTTTGAAAAATGACTCCTATCAATTTGTCCGAACAGACAAATAATAAATATTTCTTGTAAACACCTGTTAACTGTATTCTAGAAAATTCCTCAATAAATACTAATAAAAAATCAAAGTGGGTGGTTTCGACAGATTTTAAAAGGTTTACAGCTGGGGCAACATCGCTTTTAAAAGCGAATCCGTCATGTTTTTCTAATGGCGACATTATGCTTATTGAACGTATGTTTTTAAAACCTTTAGTGCAAAAAAGTGTTTGCTATAAAATCAATTTCTTGTACCAAGTTACCACCAAAAAAAAAAGTGTCATTGGTGTCATTGGTCATTGGTGTAGGCCGTAGGCAAACTGTGTATGAGAAGAAGGAAGTGCTGAGAACAATCCCATTTCCCGCGTAACTGAGATTTATAGTATTTGATATGAATTTATGAATTTATGAAGTTGTGGAAAAATATGATTAAGTAGAGACAAATTGATACAAACTGCTGTACAAAGTATGGGGGACATTGATTCACCCGTTAAATGGATATTTGAGGATAAGCTGCGCCACGAATTTTCGACCGCACTAAATCATTTTGGAGGAAGGCTTCGACCCTGCCTGTCAGAGCAAAACCAAGCTGAGAGGGATACAACGTCCCAGCAGAAAAATCGAGGAAACTCGATAAAAAAAATTCTTCCCACAGGAGAAGCGAACTCAAGTATTCTGCGTGCGACGGTTAGAGCGCCTCACCGTTACACTTCAGACGTCAATGAGCCTAAACATCGACACAATAACGGCCATTTAGCGCAAGGAAAAAGAAAGCCAGACAGACATAAGCAACAGTTAAATGGAAAGAAATGAAGTAGCACCAGCTAGAAACAGCATATGAAGAGAAAGAAATGAAGTAGCAGGAACCACTGACGCCCTCTAACCACCTGTGACATTCATGAGAGCCTCAGCTCACAAATGAGTAGATATATGGTTTAATGCCTCTATCAACACTGTAAGATTATATTTCTAGAAGCAGGACCTCCGGAACTAAAAGTCCATCTCTGATTGGTCAAGCTGAGTAGGTTGAGAGC